AACATGAAGCAAGTTTAATTTATTGATGAATTGATTCATGATAAAATTAACAGCAGCACATTCTTAGAGTTTTCATACAGGATTAAAGAAATATATCAAAGAACAGCCCTTTCGCTGTTTTAAGCCTTGCTCAATTACAAGTGTACTGAGTCCTAAAATCTTGGATCCAGCGCTTGCCAACGGTTGTGTTTCCTCTAATTTCGGAATTTCAGCATAAATGAAGCTGTAAATTTCCCCAAAATACCGGTACACCGGATAAACCAAAGGAAGGGACTCGGTTAAGAAATGAGTTCTGAAATTATTCCAAACAGCATTACCTCGTTTATAAGCGCAAAATTTACGCAAATCCCAGGCGTTTTGATCGCGACGGGAAAACCAGCGTAATAACGTTCTGAACTTGTTGGGGAGAACGGCAACGCTAACACCGAAAGTAGAAGCAGAGTCGTGTCCAGACTATCCGCGCGCTTTCCCGTTCTGAAATCACCACTGCGGAACGGGAAAAGCTCGGGTTTGCCTAAAAAATATTTGATAAAATAGCTCGGGTTTGCACTTTTTTATGAAGGTGGTGCTTAAAAAGATGTATTGTCATGATTGAGAAGAATATTGGTAAACAAGGGGAAAAACGACGACGATTTCCAAATTACACTTTACAAAATTATGAAGAAAAACGAGTTGTGCTGAAATCTAGTAGCACGAAACGAAATGACATCGACACAAATGATAGAAAAAAATTATTAAGTAGGATTCAAAATCTGATGGATGAATCAGCAGACTCGAGACTTAACTGGAATAATTTCAAAGTTTAATCGCCCATGTGGATTCATATTAACAACTTGTCGTATCTACAACTATCCTCTGTTTACGCTTGTTGCGTAACTCTCAAAGAAGATAATTTCGTTACCCTTAGGGTGGTCTATGAAACCGAAAATTCAAAGGTGATGGTGATCTTTAAAGAGCCGAGGTTAGGATATTGAACAACAAGTATAACGTTGACGGCTTGTTGAAACGACTGCTAAGTCACTCACTTCTGAGACACAACGGGGCGACGTTCTCGACCTAGTTTCTTGCCGGTATTTTTGCTGCACGCGCTGTTGTCGAGTGACCTTCTCGTCCTCTTGCTTAATCACTCTATTGAAAACAAGTCCAGACAACAAACTTACGGCTTTGCGAGAAGTGCGTGAGTTCTTTATCCAATTACTGATCGACGTCTTTTCAACTTTTCTAGAGAGCTTTTTTCCGGTGAAAATCACAAGCAAAGGTTCCCCTGCGCTCCTTTGAGAAATCAGGCAGAGAAAGTGTTCTTGTAGACATAGTTTAATGCTACTCTGGTTTACAGATTTAATGAATGTAACCGAAGAAGTCACAATACATAGACCCAACGTTTCGACACTCCTGTCGAGTGCCTTCATCAGGGGTAGTCTAAACACTGCAACAATTAAGAGGTCCTTTTATATGATCACTAATTAGCTGCCTCTTTCCAGACCAGGTGTAAATAGGCGTCAGGAAGGAAGCCGCCATCGTCACGATTTAAAGGAGCGTGGGCGGAGTTAATATGCCAAGCCTCCAAACAAAGGCGCTGGTGGTCACACCATGAAATCATAAATTTACGAATCTGTAAAGATGCCGTAAAGTAAGTGTAAGATTATGGCGTAACATACCGTTCAGTCAGGGTATTTTCCCTATCGAAAAATTAATTTTCGTGTCGGAAATCAATTAACAGGGTCCGTTATTGTTGGCCTCTTTCTGACCTCCTCATTGTCTGCTATTTCCCGTGTCTGATATTATTTCCCGTGTCTGATATTATTTCCCATGTCTGTATTTACTGATTTACTGATTTCGACTTATCGCCGTGCTTTATATTAATGCTCGAGTCCTTAAATTATTCGTTACAATCATCGAGTCCGTAATTGGTCTCTTTCTCGGCGACAAGTTTACACAGAGTCCACTTTGTTTGAAAGCTCTTCGAACTTTGAGGCATTTTCTTCATCGTGCTGCCTCATTTGCTCTCTTAATGATTGGTTTTCTTTCAAACACTCGTCCAGTAGCACAGTATAACTGTTGCTAACGCTGATGTGGTTGGAAATTCTTGACATTTGTAAAAGAAAAAGAGTCCACAGATCACTTCACACGCCAAAAGTAAAGCCAGGAGTAATCGCAAACGACGCTAAAAGGACGCTAATATTCGCGCCATGAATACAAATATATGATGTCTCACCTTCTGATAGGCTCATTGCAGTCTCGTGAATACGATCCTTTATCAAACAGTACTGAATTTGTCGGAAGAATCGTCTGAATTAAAGACGTAATTTAGTGTTAAGAACTGAATTGAAAATGTAAATTAGCCACCGTAAAGAGTTAACCTTCACCAGAGCGATTCACGAAGGGCTAACGCTCGAAACGTCAGCCTTTTAACTCTTTACGGTGGCTAATTTACGTTTTCAACTCAGTTCTTAACACTAAATCACCTGTAATAGTGTAGTTTGATCGTCCGGGTGAGTGTAGTCCTGAGAAGGACTGTTTGAAGGACCGCTCAAAAAGAGCAGGTTCATAGTATTTTTCCCTGTTTTCGCTTATGGTGACTGACGTTTCGACAACCTGAGCGGAAGTCATCATTAGAGTCAAGTCCACTTGACTCTAGTGATGACTTCCGTAGCCTCCCCCGCAAGGTGGGACTGCAGAAACCATGTCAGTTGTTTATTTGTTCATCAGTTCCGTTTACTTTCTACAGGAGGCATGGAAATGAGCCAAGTATTCCAGAAAAAAGGATAACCAACCGCCTCAGGAGGTATAAATACCAGCTTAAGGCGACTGATATGCAGTATAGAACGCACTAGTGACCCCCTCGTGAGCCCTTAAGACCTTGCGTTCGGTATTACTTTCCTTCAAAACTGTATCTGCGTCTAATAACCGGAGGGAGCCGGTGCATCGCCTAATGAGTTCTTTACGACTAGCTCCTAATTTACTGCTTGTGACTGTTTTTGCGTTGATCCAAAATTTAGCTTCAACGAGTGCCGCTGTGGTAGACCGCAAGAAGAGCACCGGTAGCTGCTTGAAAGAAGGTAAGATTCTTACAGCAAAAGTTGGTGATTATTTCTAGTTAGTATAGGCAACGCTTGAGGAAAACAGAAGCGACATTGGAGCGGCGTGCTGCGTTCTTTGAGGAAGCTAGAGAATCAAGGTCGCAAATTTTATATTGCAAAAGTTTGGTTTGAAACGGACAAACCGTGATTTTCGGTATTATATCAATCTCGTTTAATTTCTTGTTAAAATCCCCTTTGCCATATGCAAGAGAAAAGAGATAAATCGTATTTCGTAATTTCAATGCATTGGAGTGAGTTTGTTCTTTATACTTTGCAGAACTTTAGAGTCATTCTGGTACGCTAAGCCGTGAGCATTTTGAAGCGCCCTTCGATGTCTTGAGGGGGGGAGGGGAGGGGAGGATTGGGAGTGGCGATGTTCTTCAGTTGCAGCATTTTGGCAAAGAAAATCGTAGATTAGGGAATCGAGATGGACTTCCAAATCCTGCAAAGTTCGTTACTTGTGATGTCCGTAAAGCTCTAGTGATAGCGAACCAAACTTTATTTCTTCTTTACTGTTCCGTGTTCAGTGGACTTTGTTATCTATTCGTTGATCTTTCTCGCTATTTTCCGGACATAACGAGGCTTTTCAAAGCAGAAAATGCCTTGATTTTAAGACAAATTTGAAACACGCAAGACCCAAAATCGGCATTTAGATGAGAAACGTTAGAAATGTCGATTTTTGCGATAAGCTGACAGAATTTGGACAGTG